ATTTTATTTTAAAAGTACTTTATTTTAAAATATCACAAAGAACATTTTATTTGGATTATATTACATTTAAATTGTATTTGTACTTTGCAATTTTGAATATGATTATGCGCCGAACACTTTACTAAATAATCTTAAGTAAAAAGGTATTACACGACAACAGCGGACAGCAAATTATTCCACATGAATTTACCATGTATATATTATCATATTTCAATGGAAAATACTGGTTAAGCCAATTTACCCACCTGATAGTATTTCTCTGGTCAAGGGCCATTGTTAAAGAAATCACATTTTTTTTGTAAAATCAATTTCTGGTGCTAATGTGATTAAACTTCATTAGCCACAAAGAATCACTTTTTAAACTACCTTCGTTATCTGTATTTCTTAATTATTGATGTGGAGAGAGAGCACAAATTTCAAATGTCTTTGTTGTGTTTCTCTTAAAGGAGCGGGAAGCCACTTTTGAGTGGCTAAAGAAAGAGGCTGTGAGGATTGTAAAGGAGAACAGGAAAAAGGGCCAGGGTAAGAAGCAGAGCCAGAACAAGAGAAGCCCATCGCCTGGGTCTCCAGAGTCCGAGTGTGACTTCCTGCGGAGGAGCAAGCGCATCAAAGAGTCCCGCCCCATCAACTTCAGAGAGATGGAGTGTGCGGACGAAGAGAGTGACGCTGGGGAGGCGGATGAGAGCGAGTGTCCTGAACCGGTCCCTCAGGCAGGACTCTCTGGGATGGAGTTCCTCCTGGGAGACCTGTTCTGCTCCTCCCCGAAGAGCAGGCAGAGCTCCGTGGAGGAGTCTGTAGACATGGAGATGTCCGCCTACAAAGCCGACAAGGGGGCGTCGCTGGGGGTGGAGCCCCTGCAGTGGTGGAGGATGAAGGCAGGTCAGTTTCCTCTGCTGGCCACAGCTGCACGGGCCTACCTGTCCGCCCCCGCAGTGGCAGGTAGCGCCACACAGGACTTTGCACAGGAAGAGGCGGGAGCAGCACACAGGAAGAGAGGAAACATTCCACCAGAAAGTTTGGACTCCATCTTGTTTCTGCATTACAACCACATGTCCACCTCTGAGAGCGGGCGAGCTTTAGCTAGGAGCGACGACAGAATATAAAAGGTTGTGTAAAATGTATGTTTGCCTCCTTTTTTGAGACTTATATAATCGACATATAACATTACATTACATTGCATTTAGCTGACGCTTTTATCCAAAGCGACTTACAATAAGTACATTCGACCAGGAAGACACAACCTTGAAGAAAACAGAATCATATAAGTACATCAGGTTTCATAGAGCCAAACATTTCAAGTGCTACTCAACTGGCTATAGATAAGCCAGTCCTTTATCAGTATATAAGTGCTTTGTTAATAAATCTATCGCTCGAGGTGGAGTCGAAAGAGATGAGTTTTCAGTCTGTGCCGGAAGGTCTGTAATCTTTCTGCTGTCCCGATGTCAATGGGGAGCTCATTCTACCATTTTGGAGCCAGGATAGCAAACCCACGTGTTTTTGCTGATGGGAACTTGGGTCCCCCTCGCAGCGAGGGCGCAGCGAGTCGTTTGGCTGATGCAGAGCGTAGTGCACGCGCTGGGGTGTACGGTTTAACCATGTCCTGGATGTAGGAAGGGCCAGATCCATTCGCAGCATGGTAAGCAAGTACCAGTGTCTTGAAGTGGATTCTAGCAGTTACCGGAAGCCAGTGAAGGGAGCGGAGGAGCGGAGTGGTGTGTGAAAATTTAGGAAGGTTGAAGACCAAACGAGCCGCTGCATTCTGGGTGAGCTGCAGAGGTCGGATGGCACATGCAGGTAGACCAGCCAGGAGGGAGTTGCAGTAGTCTAGGCGTGAGATGACGAGAGCCTGGACCAGAACCTGCGTCGCTTTCTGGGTCAGCTGGGGACGTATCTTCCTGATGTTGTAAAGCGTGTATCTGCAGCAGCGGGTTGTAGCAGCTATGTTTGCAGTGAAGGACAGGTTGTTATCTAGGGTCACACCCAGAATCCTTGCAGTCTGAGTCGGGGAAACAACAGAGGTGCCAATGTTGATAGTCAGGTCAAGAGTGGGACAATCTTTTCCCGGAAGGAAAAGCAGCTCAGTCTTGTCAAGGTTGAGCTTGAGGTGATGAGCAGACATCCACTGAGAGATGTCAGCTAGACAAGCAGAGATGCGTGCGACGACCTGGGTCTCTGAGCGGGGAAAGGACAGAATTAATTGGGTGTCGTCAGCGTAGCAGTGGTATGAAAAACCATGCGGGCTAATGACTGATCCGAGCGAGTTTGTGTACAGGGAGAAGAATATAACTTACCTTGTAGCACCTAGTGCCTTATCACTTTGGATACATTTATACCCTTAATGCTTATTTCTAACAAATATAACTGATTCCAAGTGTGTCAATTGTAGATGACAGACCTTCATGGTAGCATTGTATAAAGCTGTTTATGCATTAATTTTTTTTTTTTCAATTATGAGTTGGAATATTATGAAAGAAAACTCTAAAGACCACAAATCATGTCACATTTCCACTGCATGGTACAGCACGGCTATACTTTACTTGCTTTCTTTTGTTTCATTTGCAAAGTTGTGAATTGTACCTTGAACTCTTTCGGTCAAGGATCCAAGCAAACTGAGCCGATACTAGCCAAAGGTAATTTAAAACACTGCAGATCACCGATTGGTCAGAGAAAATCACTGATAAGGTGACCCTGGACATCTAGCCATTTTAACATAGCCACTCTACCACCATTAGTGACCTTGATGTTTATATTAAGACTACCAAGATTTGAAAGGATGGCATCCTTTCTTGTGGGCGTTGCTACTGCCATCGGTTAAGAATCCCGCCGACAACAAGCAACCAGGAAGTAATCCAGAAACGGAGATACCTATGGATGTATAAGGAGAACTACAGCATCGGAGGCGGGGCTCCAGTCCTTCCTTTGAGAGTTACTCAGTGTTGCATGAAACCAGAAATGGAGCAACTATAGATTCAAAAACTAACCTGATATTCCGAGGCCTTTGGCCAACAGAGCATGTTGTTTTCCTTAAGCCCAGTCAAATGAATGGAGAGAGAAAATGACTCTAGATTCGGCTTTTAGCGCATTTAACTTTTAGACCCTAATGATTTATATAAGGCTATAAAAGTGTTTGTACTGGGTAGTTTATCTAGCTCTTTAACCGCTGATTTACAGACCACTCTTTCCAAATGTAAGTCAATAGGAAAAAGTCTTAATGGGCCAAACTGATATCACGGACTGACACCGAAGTTGTAGTATCACTGTCCATTCCAAAAATCTGCTTCAACAGCTGGCACACTTCCTGGGAGCTTGAGCCCGCCCCCAAACCGGTTCACTTTAAACATCAATGGCCTACAGGGAAAAATGAAAATACCTGGGTTGCGGTCGAATAGTCAGTTTAGCTTAGGAACCTTCCTAACTGAGTGAAATGACCCGGAAGCCCCTCAGTGGCAGCCATGATAAGTGCCGTTCGAATTCTCTAGATGATAGGAAAGGAGGTTTCAAACTTCCTTTATAACCTCCTTTAGCTTAGGAACTACTGGACCTCCCTTGACGAAAAGAGAGGAGAAAATGCTGCCCCACAATGCCTTGCGGCCGCAGCATTTGCCGTCACACAACAGTCGGCCGAAATGATATCATGAAAGTTACGGTGCTTAATAAGCTTTTTAAAACGTATGTGGTAACTTACCAAAGTGCTTTGTTTTGAACGTTCATCAGTATTATAATCAAAGAGAAATATGAACATTAGTTTTTACTGAAATTATCAAATAAAGTCAACATTTCACAGTCTTTACTGAGCTGTGTGGGGTTTGTTCAACTTTTAAAAGATGTTTGAATGGTGATATACACAGTGATAGATGTTAAGGACTAACGTTTATAATAAATACATCTGTATTGATTTTAAGATATTTTCATAGTTCATACAATCATACTGGGATAATTTGTATTAATGTGGACCGGAGGGAGAGGGTGACGAGCATACGTTTCACTTTCCTTTTTTATTTCAATTCCAACTTTGATCATGAAGAATATGTTTCTCTGTTGTCCACGTTCATAAAGCATAAAGCAACAGCATCAGAGCACGGTGCAGAGTCTCTAGATGAGTTTACAGTAGTCCCTCGTTCTTATTAAACATCCATGTTGTAGTCCGCTATAGAAAACAGTAGTTTCCATAGTTCCCCCACAGCAGCAGACGCACATTTATGACCTCCGCTGGCGCATCATAAACACGTCGGATAGTGAAAGTGCATTCGGATTCTCTAAAGTACCGCAGTCTCTTCTCCTAAGTCCTTTTGAATTCTCCTATCCACTATCCCTTAACCTCGTGACGTTTCACACAGAGGTCAAGGGATAGACGATAGGAGCTGATTTTTGGACTATTCGACCGCAACCCTGGTACCAGAAGTGAGTACAGCCAAACCATGAGGTGGAAATGAGGCATTACCTTACTTGGGGCTCCTTCTTTTTTCAGTAAAACTTAAATAATGGTTCAAGTGATCATAAAATACATTTGAAGAAGGAAAATATTTTGAAGATAAAAAAGTAACTTGATTGGAAGTTGTTTTACATTTATATTTCAGTTACCTCTTCGATTTATTTTTAGTAATGAAACCTAAACATTTTAAACACTAACATAGTATGACGATGAGTACATTGCACACTATTGAATCGGAAAAGGAACTTTTGGACATATTTGTTGAAACTGAGTACAGACTGTACTGTACAGTAAGATTAAAGGTAAAACCTTTAATAAAGTTACCAGCCGTAGCTTAAACACGATTGAAGCTGATCAGCACAATGTCTGTATCGTTGTAGACTGTAATGTTTTTGAAGACTTCTCTTAATCAAGAAAGTGCAAGAAAACTGTCTTTTTGTTTTAAACGTAACACTGTAATGTAAATATACATGTATTTTTATCTGTCTTTTAAAAAAAATTAAAATATATCACCATACGAATCATGAATTATCCACGGTTTATAAACATAACAGAAAGTTCAGTAGTATTTTTTTTAAATAAAAGTTTATTGTGTACTGTGGTTATACAAATAAGTGGACATATGAATCTATATTTAAAGCTTAAAAATGTCTGTAGACAGAGCACTCAAAATGTCAATAAATGTTTACGAACAGTTGATCAATAACAAACATGTTATATTAAACTATGAACCTGTTTTGAATTATAAAAAACATTTGAAAAATCTGAACAATTAGATAAGAAAAAATAGTTATACAAAAATGGGTAATGAAAAGAGAATTTTTGTTCTTGCTGTGAAACGTATAAAACTTAGACAGACGGACAAACACTATTTCTAGAACTCGGCTTCGGCCATTTTGGAGCCGTTATTGTCACTCTGAGTGTTGTCCTCCCTTTGGCGTGCTACTTTCCTGCAGTGGATGAATACGTAGAGAGGATGTATGAACACCAGCAAACTGAGGAGGCTGAGAGCAGCGTCCACCTGTAACACAACATCCATTAGTCAAAGGTCAGTCACAATATTTCACTACACTTGATATTGTATGTCACTGCTGACCAGGCCCGGTTCTACGGGGGTGCATATGGGTGCATTGCACCCTCAGTTGAGTCGTTATGCACCCTCATTTGAAAAATGAAAAGTGAAAAATATGACATATATAATAACAATAATAAGAAGAAGAAGAATATAGTTGAAATAAAATACATTGTAATTGTGGTTAAATAACATTGTCTGCTGCATTTATTTGGTCAATTTAAACGGTAAGTAACGTTATTATGTCAGGTGCGAGTGACCTGTGCCGCTGTGCTTTCGTCATCTGCAAGGTGCTTACACAGCAGTCAGTGATGGACATCAGAAAATGGTTAAAACAACCAGCCCTTGTCGCCAGCAGTAACACTGCATCTGGTAATAACAGTTCAGATCATGGGGACATTCCTCCCGCCTCGCCCACGGAGGCGGAGCAGCCGCAACCGTCTTCGTTGCCCCAAACACCGCCACCCCTCGGCGGCCCGCAAGTGCCAGAGGACCTCGGAAAAACAGAGCCTGCCCAGGTATATTTTAAAAAGTACCCAACTCGCCTGTACAGTGGGGTAAGGCGCTCATTTTGCAGCTCATGATTTCAAAACAGAGATTGGCTGGAATATTCATGTCAAAAAGATGCCATCTTCTGCATGTAGACATTTCGGTCTTAAAAGGGGAGTGATTTGTAAAATATATCCATAAAGAAAAAGTAAATCTGTTTACACTTCTGTTTCATATGGGTGTTGAGATGTATCCATAGATCTCTTCATTTTGCTCTCAAAGTGCACCAGATTGATGCTTTTAACTTCAATATTTAAAAAAAAATCTTCCCAGGGGAGCATGCCCCCGAACCCCCCTAGAGGAGGTGAGGACCCCCCTAGAGGGTGTTAAGTCCACTCCCCACTTATAAAAATAGCACTTTACCACTGCACCCTCTCTAATCTCAGATGCACCGTGAGTCATTTTGTTCTGGAACCGGGCCTGCTGCTGACTATGTGGCCCCCGACGAAGATTTGATATTCCAAAGTTACTTCTTGAGCACCTACCAAGAAGGGGTCTCCGTGCAGAGCTCCTTTGACCAGGGCGAAGCAGGGGTACTGCAGCAGGGAGATGATCGCAGAAAGGGCCATCAGCAGGCCGTACAGCTTCCCGAAGTGACACGCTGGAAAACTGACACAAAGAAAAAAGCAATGATATTCCCCCATTGGATTTCGGTATATTGCACAACATATGCTTTGTGGCCCACATACGTTAATCATACTTTTACGATTATTTCAGCAGGATTTCAGGATAATCTCAACACCATTTTGCAATTGGCCGAAATAAAAAAAACAACGTTAGGATATAAACAAACTACATTATAGTCGCATGGCTGCGCATCACGTCCAGCAGTGGCTCAGTCAGTAGGGGCTTGGACTGTGAGCCGTAGGGTTGCCGGTTCAAGTCCCTGACCAGACCTAATTATGGAGTGTGGACTGCTACTTGGAGAGGTACCAGTTCACCTTGCCCTTGAGCAAGGCACCGGACACCCCCCCTACTCCCATTGCTCCCCGGGCGCTGTACAATAGCTGCCCACTGCTCCTGGTACTAGACTCCTGATACTAGGATGGGTTAAAAGCAGAGAACACATTTCACTGTTTGTGCTGTGTGCTCTGCATGTGTGACTTACAGAGGGTTTCATCCAGGGTCGGCGTCATGGGGGGTCATTCGCGGGCCATGCCCCCCCAAATGAGTCACTGTGCCCCCCCAACGCAGGGTGGGCAAGCCTTGCCACTTTGCCGTTTAAAAACAAACAAACATATAAGTGAAAGCGTTTCCACTAAAGGTTTTTTGTGTGAAATACGTCAGAAATAAAGAATACAACATTTAAAACACAGCCTGAGCTGTGCTCACTGCTGCTCTCTGATTGGTGTGTTGCTTGACCAATGACCCCCGACCTTTGTTTTGTTATCATTACGTGGCTGTGTGTTCAGATGAAAGCCCGGTGGCGATCTGTTCATCTGTTACACTGATTATACAGTAAAGCCATCGAAAATAATATGATATACAGTACAGTACAAGTAGCCTACTTCTGGGTCTCTGTGTTTCATTCAAGCTCGGCTCTGTGTGTGTGTGTGGCACGAGCGCATTTTGTGAGTGCGCAAGTGGTAACGTGGAATGTTGATGTTAGCATGATCTGGTTAGCTAGCTATGCTAACGGATATAAAGAGCTGTTTCTACACCAAGGTGGAGGAGAGTCCTCTCCTGTCCGACTGAGAGGATCTTATAACGTCAGCTCAGTGAGGTAAGGACTCTCTCAGTGTTTAGATAGTTAACTTTAGTGTAGGTTATCTCAGTGGGTCTCAAATGGTTTGGTCACCATTTATGTAAACAAGTATTTGCGAGGAACACCTTTATATGATCATTATAGTTATTAAAGAATAAGAGAATAAATGAAAAACGGGTATGAAATACTATAGGACAGTAACACAAGAATACAGTTTAAAAGGGGAGTGATTAGTAAAATATCCATAAAGAAAAAGTAAATCTGTGTACAGTTCTGTTTCATATGGATGCTGAGAGATGTAGACTATCCATAGATCTCTTCATTTTGCTCTCAAAGTGCACCAGATTGATGCTTTTAACTTCAATATTTTAAAAATAATCTTCCCAGGGGAGCATGCCCCCAGACCCTCCTAGAGGACGTTAGGTCCACCCCCACCTAAAACATGTTCACATGGATAGGATACTAAATACATTTGCACACTTTTGTATGGTGGCCTATGTCCATATGTTTCTGTTTTGGTGGTCGTGCCACAACCGTGCATGTATGCACAAGTCATAGGTGCGCTATACAATAGCACTACACCCCTGCAATGTGTGTGAAAAACAATATACTTTAAAGTTTACAGCATGTTTTTTGAAGTTGCGTTGGTGTTTGTGTGTTGGTTGTTGACGGCAGTGTGTGCCCCCCCTTTGTAAATGATTTCCCCCCCATTCGATTTGTTCTAGAGCCGACCCTGGTTTCATCCCTCCCATTCTATTCTATTATCACCACTCTAAGGCGGCTAATGTTCAGCATGATGATGTTAAGTATTTTATTTAGCCACTTGTAAGCAACTGCTGTTTTTGTGACATATAAAGCTTTGGACCTTCATAAGTGTGCTATTTACTGACATACAGTATGTTAGAACAAAACGTGAAAATCTCTCCAGCTCGTGACTTAAAGTGACTCTTTATGCCTAGAGAATGGGGCAGGATTCCAATGAGCAAAAATAGTTCATGGCCATTACGAAGAAGAGCAGAAAGCTGTTGGTGAATTCGTGCTTGGAATTAAGCTGGCTTCGTAAGTGAAAGAGGAACCTTAGCTCAGCTTGGAGGCAATTTTCCGTTGTTGTTATTTCAGTGAAAAGGGGAAGGTAATGACTAAACGACTTTGACAATAGCAAGTGGTATCTGAAGAACCACATGGCCTTAACCAAATTGGTCTTTCTGGATGATTGTGTGGTGAGGTGTTTCTTGTATTTTGTCCATCTTCTCTGTATGCGTGTAATTCAGAGTTGGGAAGTAACTAAGTACATTTACTAAAGTACTGGTTAAGTACAATTTTGAGATACTTGTACTTTACAGTACTTGAGTATTTCCATTTAATGCTACTTTGTACTTCTACTCAACTTCAATTCAGAGGTAAATCATGTACATTTACTCCACTACATTTATTTTGTAGCTTTAGTTACTTTGTAGATTTTGATTAATAATGTGAAATATTATCAACACTTAAACTTTCGCCTGGAATAAAACTTGCAAGCTACCCTACAAAGTAATTCAAACTAGCTGCACCTTTACCAGCTTTTATAACAGTTTAATGCATCAATAATTATAATCTAAACAAATCATATATATTATTCTGAAATGGACCAATATGCTTTGGTACTTTAAGTATATTTTGATGCTTATACTTTTTTAATTTTACTTGAGTAACATTTTGATTGCAGTACACTCTGGTACTTCTACTTTAACTTAAGTACAAGATCTGAGTCCAACTTCTGGTGTAATTGCTACTCACGCTATGCTAATGAACGCTGCATTTCCGCCGTAGAGGAAGGAGCGATTGATGACTTGCAGAACAAAGGTGATGTACTGCAGGGGGAGGAGAGGAAAGGAGGCGCACAGAGAGAAGAGCAGGCACTGCACGGAGGTCAGGAGCAGAGACAGGGAGGAGGAGCGCAGGTCGGCTTCCAGCGACGTTTCTCCTACAACAAGAAATGAATGAAGTTGTTCTGTTGCACAAAACACACAAACACACACACACACACACACAGTTATAAGAGCAGATAGGGATGTACCTGGAGCCAGAGGCTTTCCCTTGTGTCTGTCCATGAGGAGTCCGTTCCAGGGAGCACACAGCACTCCAAACAGCTGGGTGATGGCAAACGCATTGGTGTACTGACTCACTGAGGAACCAGGGAGAAAGAAGAAGAAAACAAGTTGGGTTTGACTCATAATAAGACAAAGGTAAATAAGAGGAAGAAGAGAAAGCTTTGCAGGAGAATTCAACGCCATATCATGCTCTCTCCAGTACAGGTTAGCTTTGAGTGTTAGCGATGCTTATATCGCGTCATATCGGACGCAAATCTGGATCAGCTCCGTTGTACCCCCGTTTTTAAGAGATGTAGGTACGGAGGAAAAGAGAGAGGGTTTTGTTTTCTGACACTTTGTGAGTTCCCTGACATACCAGGGACACACATTTATGTATAAAATACATCAAAAAGTGCATTTTGCATGATAGGAGACCTTTAAATCAAGTAACGTTTTTTAAATGAGTTACCCAGGTCAGGGTCATTCTCGGCCAGCCGGTTGAGCATGGGGTTGAGCGTGCCGATGAAGAGGTAGTGCCTCAGCTGCATTATGGATAACCACAACAAGTGCCACAGGAAGAACCAGGACAGAACACAGCTCCGGAAACTCGCCACTAAAAACGTAAAAGTTGTAAAAAAAAGGAATCGACAAAACAATGAAAACCGCTTTAAAGTTGAAACTGTATTGCTCCTCCACCTTCTAAAGGACACTGACAGTATCAATATCATGTCAAATATAACTCTTTCTATTTAACTCGTTTCCCATAATGTATCTTACTCTTTTGCGATTGTATTAGGCACTGCTATGAGTATAGCCTACTATAACTTTTTATACACTTGTTTTTTTTTTTAGTTATCCATGGCACAATCATTTTCATTGAGATTAATGACATTTTATCTTTAAATACATTAACTCATTTGCACTTGAAATGTTTAAATAAAGTTTTGTTACGGCCCCGATTAAAGGAACAGTTTAGCTCTAAATTCAAAATCATAAATCATCTCATTCACTCCGTGCCAGTTGAAAGTACAGAACATGTTTGTTATAGATGCAATGATTGGTTGAATAATCAATAACTAAATCTACAGAAAATGTATCAGCAACTATTTTGACAACTGATTCGGTGATTCAGACATTTTTAAGCAAAGTGGTCAAATATTCTCTGGTATTACAGAAGCTTGTCAAATGAGAGGATTTGTTGCTATTCTTTATCAAATCTGCAGATACAATTAGGAAAGCCCTGTGATCCAAACAATTGTGGATTCCATTTTAAAATAGATAATATTTGGCAAAAAGATTATAAAATAAAACAGTAATAGGGAGATTTATTGATGATAAAAACGTTGGTTGGGTAATTTGTCATATGTTCTCTAGTTAAACCTAGATCAATCATTATTTTTGTGAAGGTCATTTTTTTTAAAGAAAAAAAGTTTGAAATGTTTAAAATGTAATGATCTGTGTGAAGCTTTATTGAACAGCTACAGCCACTCCTGAAAATGTAGCAAAAATAAGGCTGAGTACCATTTTCTGAGTCTTGGGCCTGGGCTTGGTCCTCAGGCTCAGCTGGAGACTCCTGTGAAGCTATCACGCCACCGTCTTTCATCCTCTCAAACTGCTCCACATTGTAGGTGTTGGCCTTCCTGCAATTCAATCTATATAGAGAAAAAAGGGATTGTTTATTCCATGTCCTTTCCATGAAACAGTAGCTGCTTCAAAGACAAGCTGATGTTCGTACCCGTAGGTAAAGTGTTGCGGCAGAGGGTAGGGGATGTGGGTTTTAGGCATCAGCAGGAAGGTCCTCAGCAGGTGGATGACGCTGCAGGAGGACAAGACAAGGAGGGAGGAGCGCAGAGAGATTCCCTGCTCATGCAGAACCTGGAAAGCAGAGGACATTTTGCAGGGGATTGAAAAAATCGAGACAGATTCCATTGAATGATACCAAATGGAAACTATCTCTCTGAAATGTGAATGATAAGGCATCGAAAACATTTACAAGGCAGGGTATTATCCCAATAAAATAGTTGAGGATAAAGATTTACAGACATTTTTCTTTTTAAAAACTGCATCACTTGCTAGGTAGATTAAGCTCACCCCACCTCAAGCACTGCCATTTGCTGTGAATTAATCAATGTACTTGTTCTTTTTTGGTAATTTATCACATTGATCACAGAGAAGTTCATGTTTCTTCTTGTAAATGTATTACTTTAATATATTAATTTAATATATATAAACTTCAGTGGTTTATTTCCTTTCATGACCCCCAGCAATATTTTTATTTAATTTGTTTTACCTATAATGGCCCTTATACGGAAATAATGATTTCAGTAGCTGGCAGGATATATCAATATAGGGGCTTCCCTTGTACCTTGATGATCAGAAACACAGCAGAAGAAGAGTCAAAGGCTCCGTTGTAGAGGGTGATGATGGTGGAGCGATGAGAGGAGAACAGGTTTCCCACCTAGCGGACACAAAGATAATTCAGCAATACAAAATGCATAGTAGGCTAATGGTTACTGGAGAGTGTAAAGGCCTGTTTCTACATTATCTCAGAACTCACCTGCATGTTGGTTAGAAGGAGTAGAATTCCTCCCACAGCGATACACGACAAGGCAGGATAAAGCAGCTCTGAATATGCTACATGACAGAGGAAACAAACTTTACTAAAAAGTTAAGAAATTATACCATTTGTACAGGTGTATCTTCACAACTGGCAGTGTGTAATTCCATATTCTATCTTTTCCTAAATTAAAATGTATTTTTTAAACGTTTTGTCCAGATCGATGCTACTGAAACCAGGTATAATAGCCTTTGTGGGAAGCGAAGCGGAGCTTTGCTGGCGTGGCTCGCTGCAAAAGTTGAGCATTGTGGGCAGCGCACCACAGTTCGGTACGTCCACACCGTTCCGTTGCGTTGAAGCTTGCCGGTGGGTGTGTCTGGCACGCGACCAACAACCAATCACATTAATCTCCCGACCCGGACACACGAGCACACGGTTTGATTGGCTAGCACTTGTACTGGCTGTTACGTACTCCCCCCCTTTTGTTGTCCTCTTTGTTCTCTCTGCTGTGCAGGTACACCTGGCTCCGCCTTCCCCAGGTGTTCCCAGTTGTCACTCAGCCGAGCTTGGCGCAGGTGTTCCCAGTTGCCAATCAGCCGAGCATAAAAGAGGAGACTGAAGGAGAAGGAGGGCGCCGATCACTACTCCGGATGTCTCTGCTGTGTCAGAGCTCTTTTGCCTTTTTGTGGTGTTTCCTGGAGGACGTGTTAGTATTAGGTTTTCGCGGCTTTATTTTCTCCCGTTAGGTTCTGTTGGATTTTGGGTAGCGGAGGAAGGCTCTGGATCCTACGGCTCGTGGTGTGGTTGGCCCAAGTCCCCTCCGTCTGTTTGTTTGTTTTACCTGTCCTCCAGTGGAATGATTTAGTATTGTGGCAATAAATGTATGATCACAGTTTAGTGCCTACGTGTTGTGTACTTTTGTTTTATGTTGCGGACTGCCTCACGAGCCACTACTATTGAGTAGGGAGGCGGGTCGTAACACTGGCATATAATTTGATTGGCTGGCGCTTCCGTCGGCGCTTGAAAAGTTGAACTTTTCTGAACTTTCAGCGCGAGCAACAGAGGCAAAGCGACGCCACCCCATTCATGCCCGGCACCGTGGGAGGGCCAGGCCTCCCTCTCCCAGTCTGTCCTGGGAGAGGGATCCCTCCTCTGTTGCTCTCCCTGAGGTTTCTCCCATTTTTTCCCCTTAAACTGTGGGTTTTTCTCTGGAAGTTTTTCCTTGTACGATGTGAGGGTCTAAGGATAGAGGGTGTCGTTTTTCTCATACTGATATTCTGAACAATCTGTGCTGTTGTATTAGCTGTAAAGTGTCTCTACTGTAGGCTATTTTTATTATATGTACAGCACTTTGGCTCGACCAAAAATCGTTTATAAATGTGCTATAAAAATAAAACTTGATTCGATTTGATTTGACATTCCTGCCCTCCCCCAATAAACACGATTTGTATTATTTATAAAATTAAAGAATTTTTTTAATTTTTTAATTATAAATAAATTGTGTACTTTTATGCTAGGATGTATGTGATGTCATCATCATCATCATCATCATCATCATCATCATCATCATCATCATTCTCCTCCTCCTCCTCCTCCTCCTCCGTGCCGGTGCCTCCACTACAGACGCTACCTCGCAGCACATCAACAGGTACTATTGGGCCAGCAACCGCTCAAAGACCAACAGCCCCAGATGATCTTGGGGTTAATAAACCCAACCAGGTGAAACTGGATCGTTATCCAGGGAGATTGTTTTCAGGAAAGAAGCGCACTTTAGCCACTGCATGGTACAATAACAGACCATGGCTTGAATATTCGTTAAAAGCAGACGCAGCCTTTTGTTTCCCCTGTAGACAGTTTAAAGTAAATACGTCTTCATCTGATGCGGCTTTTACTGTCAAAGGTTTTTGCGACTGGAAACACGCATTACAGACTGATACAGGACTGCTAAGGCATGCCGCATCAAAAGAACACATTTCATGTGAGAGTTTGTGGAGAGAGAGAGACAGATACACGAGGAAACACATAAGGAAATTAGTACTTTGGTGCAGATCAGCTGGCACGGAACCGTTATTACGTGTCAGCTGTCGTTGATATTATAGCTTTTTTAGCTGTCAAGTGTCAACCAACTCCCTCTCATGCGGCTTTCACACCAGCGCTTTTCCCTTTCTAGCTCCGACCTAGAGCTTTTCTGGTTCAGCTCCGGTTTCCCTTTTCTGCTCCCGCTCTGTTCACACCGCCCAGCACCCGACTGGTGCTGCCGCTGCTGCGTCATGACGTCACCGTTTACATCGCTGATTTGCTCCCCAACGGCATTACGGCGCTCACAACAACGGGGAACTGCGTCGGGTCGATGATCGTGTAGCTTTTAATCACACAAAGCCAGAATAAATTGAATAACGACTTCTCCAACCTTATACTTTGCTCCAGAGTGCCGTGGTTCATTGTTTATTAATGTGTTTCTGCAGCATTTACCGATCGCTACAGTGTTGGCTACTCTTCCACGGGAGTTTATTCTCCCGTTAGCTCCCGGTTAGCTCACACTGCTGCGGCCGTTCTAAAGTATTCACTGTCCGACTCACACAAGCAGCTGATACATATCCCCAGTTCCCCTTAAGTGAATGTGTGTCAGTCTGAATTGACGCTGTTTGGTATCACAACGCTGTTATGAAAGTTTCTCTGGTATAAAATGGGTGATGTTAGCATAGCAACCGAAGCTAAACTGACTACTTGCTATTGCTATCCTATTGTGGCATAAACCGTTTTCTACAGGCACATTTTACCGGCGTATTTTTATTATGATTCTACTTGTGATAGTCGGACACGACAATCTGTGCAGCCCATGTATTGATTCCATCCGATAGCTGCTATAATACAAAACAAAACGTCTGCCTCTCTCCGCAATGATCAATAACAGTGAACGGATGGTCAAAGTAAGGTACAAATAAACAGAATCACACGAAGCCTGGTTAGTGTTGCCTGACTTTATAAAGTGTGTTTATAAGCACTACTGCTTGTAGGCAGGAATGACAGTCGACCCATGTTCAGGGGAGGTGGGTTTAGTTTCCTGCACGCCTCGACGTAAGAGAGACGTAAGCGACGCCACCTCTTAGCTCCGAAGCTCTTGCCTCTAGACCGACAATTTTTTGGAGCTGGAAGTGAACCGGATTCCGGAGCTAAGAGGCGGCGCCGCTGCGGTGTGAACAGGAAAAACCGGCGCTTTTCAGGCTCCAGCTCCGAGCCGGAGCTGAAAAAGCGCTGGTGTGAAAGGGGCATCAGAGGTGACCACGGTTCACTCCACAGCATGTCCGAGTCAGGCAGTGGGCTCTTCCTATCGCTGTTTGAGTACGCTGCAGTACAAAGATGCAGAGTTGGCCTAAATAATGGAAAGCATTCCCCACACAGCAACATACACCTCTCACGACATGCACAATGCCATAATAGAACTAACAGCAGTTAATCGTCTCCGTCTCTACTATTTCTCTCCGAGTGCAACGATGAGGAAGCTACCATCCTTAACCAGTGTGCCTTGCTCGTGATTTACCAGTGTTTGTGCTGCCACGCACACAATGTTTCAAAAGTTTCTATGTTACCCTTTATTTGTGTATGTATTTGCGATAAGTGTGCGTCATTGCGCGATGCCGTTGGCCTTGCTGTTTGATATATATATTGTGCCGCAGGCCCGCAGCACATGACGGTTGTGTGTGCCCTCCCATGAAAATATGCCCTCCCTTTATATTTGTTCTGGCGCCGGGTCTGACCCCATTCCTAGTGAATGGGAAGCGTCTCCGTTTAAGCACGCGACGGAACCGTGCGCATAAGCACATAAAGGTATGCCACATTTGCGCTTCAGATGAGGCACGCTCCGCAAGATGAGGCACCACGCACCTGATAATAGCTATCAAGCTAACTAGCTATTAGACAAGCTAACTTCAGTGCTGACCTATGGTGCTGACAGACACAGGCGATACAGGGGTATGGGGTTGGGGTTCTCATGGGACCCCTGGCAGCTCCATACCTTTTTACACTAAAACATGTTTTTTCCTCAGTCGTTTCTCATTTCCAAGTGGTTTCCAGTGTGCATGAAGTACTTGGATCTAAGATTGTAGATTTGGCGAATAGTATTGAAAACAATTGGCTAAAATGACTTTTATTAGATAAAAGATTATATCAAACAAGTTGGAAAGTAATTAATCTCACCCTGTGGGGCAAAAATAAATACTAAGTGTTACTTAAATAGTTTGTGTGTGTGTGTGTGTGTGTGTGTGTGTGTGTGTGTGTGTGTGTGTGTGTGTGTGTGTGTGTGTGTGTGTGTGTGTGTGTGGTGTGTGTGTGTGTGTGTGTGTGTGTGTGTGTGTGTGTGTGTGTGTGTGTGTGTGTGTGTGTGTGTGTGTGTGTGTGTGTGTGTGTGTGTGTGTGTGTACTTGCCTGCACTGGAGAAGGCCACAAGAATGGTTCCAGTCGTGTATAAAGATCTAGGAAGACAAATATGAAAAATGAAAAGTACAAACAATTATTGTAAATATTTTAACAGCACTATGAACTCACATTTGTTTAATTTTGATGTATTATATTTTGGCAATTATTCTTACTGGCATTAGGTCATATAACTATGAGTTTGAGATGTAGTTTAAATTAATTAATTAAATAAATACGGTGGTAGGGTTCAAATGTGTTTCAAAACAAATACTACATTATATCTACGTGTTTTTCATCGGTGGACTCTTTTACCTGATTTAACCTTCAAGACATAGTGCATATTTTAAGATATGCATTTATTTGCACAGGAAGCGATAAATAAATGACTTAAATTGTCAATGTATGAACACTGTAGAAATCCATATTCCTTACCGTTTAAGGAAAACAATAACTTTAAGAAAGAGAGATTTCCATATTAACACAAATATATGCTGCCACAAAAACCAGGGGGATACAGGCAGAGCATATTCCCCATTAGGTTTTTTTCAACCATCATATACTTTTAGATGTGTGAAAATGTTGCAGGCAAATAGGGTTTGGGGTAGGGCTGTGCGATTATGGCAAAAATCATAATCACGATTATTTGGTCAATAATTGATATCACGATTATTTTGACGATTATTCATTGACCATTTATTGAACTTTAAAACAAATAATATTTTACCAATAAACAAGATCAATAAATGTGTTGGAGCGCACTTCCAAAACCATACTAAACATATATTAATATGATAAATAAAAATAAATTAGACCAAAATAAATGAAATCAAATATGTTGCAGTGCACTGTCACAACCTACTGAAAACTCCTTAACATATAGCCAACATTTTGGTAAAACATATTCAACATATTCCACTCAGTTAAACGTTGAAGGCTGGCCAACCGTCATGGTCCAGAAGTAACAGGAAATAAATGTTGAACTACAATTTAAGACCAAATAAAAATGTTTAGGCCACCATGGCAAATGCTGGTAGGGCTGCTCATGTCATCTCTTAAAGATTTTTTGCAAGAAATACCAGCCTGTTTACATGGTCTGGTTTCAGAGATGAGCGCAGGCAGGTGACGATATTGCCACCTGTACTGAAGACCCTCTCTGAAGAGGAACTTGTGGCAGTGCTGCCACATATGACACAGGAAAAAAAGAAAAGACTCTGAAGAACCCTTTCTTTGCCATTATATAAAAATAGTGTTGCTACAAAAGTATAAATTAGGCTTACTAATAAGACAATCAGATCTGAAGCTACACAGTAATCTGCTGCAGCAACAGTGCAATAAAAAAGACAACATTAATAGAATCAAACCCATTTTTTGTTGCATTTTATTAGAGTATAAAAAGAAATGCCTTTTAAAATAGGATGCAAGCAACACTAGTTTCTGAACTGATAGACTATAATCAATTTAAACAGAACAGATCTTAATGTTTGCATTCTTATACCATTTTGTACAATAATTATCATGAATAAATTCAAACAAACTAAAACTTACAGCAGATTAATAACGGTATCTAAATTGAGTTTTTATTATATCAAAAACCTGTTGAAATGCTGCTGTTATTTTTACTGTCCCACAAAAGCGCGTCGCAGCCTCCAGGACAGCTTCTTTCATAACTTCGCCGTCTTTGAAAGACTTCATGTGTTTCTCAAGAACGTGACTGACACGATAAGATGCTCTGGTAGCAGCCTTGCTCTTGTTGTTGGGCCTGGTGAAAATGGACTGCTGTGCATTTAGCTGTCCTTTCAGGCCCCTCCCCTTTTGGAGCGTAGGGCAGAATTAGGAGGGAATTCCGTCTCGGAGCGTTTGTGCACTGTTTTGAAATGCCGCTCCTAAATTACCCTTCTTCGATAAAGCCACGCTCGCATTGCAGATGAGACAGATGGACTTTGAATTGGAATAGATACAAAAATAATGATCCTCCCACTTGGAGTGCAAATTATATATTTTGGGCTTTTTTGCTTCTGCCATAATTGCGGTCTTGTGTGAGTGCGGACTGTCACTCCTGTTGACCATCCATGCTGTTGACACGGACAACGTCAGCGAACTAGTGCACTGCTCACCAGCCACGCCCGGACACATGGGGTGAGGCCGGCCAATCACAAAGCTTTGATGCGTTCAAGTGCATTATTCTGGCACGGGAACATTATGTTACAGGACATTAACGATAAAACAGAATATTGTTGTTCTATTTTTAGACACATCTCGCGATCGACTGGGAATCTCCCCGCGACCCTTCTTTTTAACTAGTTGCTGCTCTTGTTCTGACATCTTCGCTTGCGCTGAACACTCACAACACATGTCACTCCCACGTGGCCGTGGGCTTTTAGGGAGGGGCGAAAGCGCACCCAGCAAAATAATCGTATTTTGTCAATTATGCTGTTTTCCTAATCGTCGCAAACCATAATCGTAATCGCGATTAAAATACGATTAATTGCACAGCCCTAGTTTGGGGTCAAATGAGGTGACTCTAATCTCTCTGCCCAGACACTCTTTGCTTTTATCTCTGCAAGCCTTACTGGCCCTTTTTCATATTAACTGTAAACTATAGAAATAACTGGAATACAAACTGTATTACCAATTTAAGCATGTATACCACATGGATGTCATGCATTATTGCAGGTAAACATGCAAGTAAACAGTGGACTGCAGAAGAGGCAGTACGCATTAGCTGAAATGCAATTTGGGAACCTATTTGTTATCATGTGCCGATTTTGCTTTCTATTAGCATGATTATCTATTTATCTGCAGTCATATGCAGATATATGTTTACAGAAATTAGCCATAGACCTTGTCCCAAAGCTCTGTTCTCACGCTAAGTTGCAAATCGGACTGTAAACCATGACTAGCGTACAGAAAAGGATGTCTTTGCTCTGATATCCATTAGCTGCATAAACATGCAAATTATTGGCCGTATTGAGATTTTGACACTGCGAAAACTGATGCTGAAGTCATTTTTTTTAAATGGAACCTTGAGATTTTCCTATTTCTTTTATGGTCGGAAATAGGAAAGTAAGAGGAACTCACATTGCCAGCAGCCTGGTTACCATGGTGCCAAATCGATCGAAGAGGTAGCCATTGATTAGAGTCATGAAGTTGTTGAGGAACGAGGCGACGGTGAAGACCAGAGAGAACTGCTCATCCTGCATAGTGCAGTCTGTGAGGTTGAGAAAGCTTGGGATAAGATTCTATATTGAGAACATTTGTGGTTGACACCAAAATGTGTCAGAAACAGAAGAAATTATACTGGTTTAGATTTCTCAGGGTTCAGAAACAATACTCCAATGCGACGATAATGTTACTCTGATGTTGTAGCCATAGTCGAGACACAAAGTAATCCACCCTATAGCACATGCTTTATTGTCTATTTTACTTTATGTGACCATGACTTACAAATTGAAAAACATGCTGTATTAGAGAAGATTTGAAACTAGTGATTTAGACCGAAAACTGGTCTGAAAAATGTTTACTGAGCCATTTGATTGAGTCATTTTCTCATAGACTTCAATTCATTCTAGTGGAGTCACCCCCTGCAGGCCATCAGGGATGAATTCAGTTTTGAGACACTTGGCATTGGCTTTACTTTTCAGACCTGGAGGCTATGCCTACTTCTTTTATACAATCGATGATCAAACCTGAACGAGAGTAGCTCACCGGTAGTGGTCTTGGTGCCGTTGGTACCTGGGACGCTGACACACAGATGACTGAAGTAGCCATCTTCCTTCAGCACAAACACCAGAGAGGCGAAACCAAACACTACACCGGCAAAGCCCAGACACTCCAGCATCCCCGAGGCCAGAGTCAGCCTGTAGCGCAGCCTGGTACCAACCTCCAACCCCTGCATGCTCTCCAGGTCTATCTCCAGGTCACCAACAAGTTTATTTCCAGTATAGGTTTGGTCCTAAAAGATGACTTTTGGAGTTTCCCTCATTAAGTACAGCCTGGGCAGTGAAGGTCTCTGGATTAAAGTTTCTAAAGAAAAAAATCAGAAAAAGGTGTTTTTCATATCTCTGTTACAGCCCACACAGTAATATATGGTCTCCAGAAATAAAAGCCTCCCGTTTGGTAAATTAAATACATTTAACACCTACTGTATGTCATCACAATTGTACAGCAATTTCATGTTGTTTATTTAATATTCCAAAACTGGCACGTTACTCATTTGATTAATCCAACATTATCAATTTTGGAATTGTGTTACTTAAAATACACTTTGTATATCTACATCACTGTAACATTCATGTCCAATTCACAGTGCAACATGAGGACAGTGTGGCATTTATCAGCAGGCTGTGCTGACTGTAATCCAGATTAGTTCACTTAATCTATGTGTACTGACACACATGGCATCACGCAGACAGAAACACACTTGATAATAGATCCTTATACCAATACAGGATTTATTAACAATCATTTAATACATTTAGTGGACATCTGATATCATCAATATGCAAAGCGTATAGGCTATTAATCATAATAGGTTACTAGCAATAAATTCTGTATTTTTTTATGTAGAGACGTTAAATTAATTTACCTCAGTACCGGGACAAAGCATGCATAATTCTGCTCACACCTGCTATTATTTACATTTTAAATGATGTTTACCTTGTTAGTTCCACGTGATCCACAAATGACAGTCCTTGTGCGCCTCTTCTCCGCAGTATCTGTCTGTTAGTCTGTCACTTAGTCAGAGATAAAGTAGTAATCTCAAACCTAAGACCCATATGTTCCCAGAGCGGGAAACATATGAGTCTTGGGTTTAAATATATCCGCATAATACTAATGAGGTGTTATTGTGAATTATAGGATAATCGTACGAATTTAATAGCCTACTATTTAGCCTACGTGATGACAACACATGTCCCGGAAATCCTGGAGATAAAATATATTAAAGAACTAACAAACTGACACAATGTGACACATGGTAGGATTAAAACAAATAATATAAAGAGTTAGTGTTCCATGCTGAAAAAAACGAGTGTCGAGGTGGTAAAATGTCAAAACTAAAACATGTCCGATGGTTAACTGTGAGGAGGATGAGACTGTACAGCACCTCCTCATGGACTGCTACAGAGCCGAGGAGGTCTGGTCACTCATGCGAGGCATCGGTTTGAAATTCAATATCAAATATACCTCAATTATGTATTGTATTCTGGATGAAAAGATGGACATAAAAAACAGGGAACTTTTATAGCTTGTCATTTGCATCACATGTATGCAGATCTGGAAAACGAGATGTAAGATGATATTAAATCAGACAATAATAAACAGCCCAGGAGGCTGCAGTTTCAGGACCGCAGTCCTGGGAATTGGATGCCCGCAAAAGCACAACCAGCGAGTATTGAGTCTCATATTAGACAGATTCTCTTTAGACATTGTAATGCTTGTTATTAATGATCTAAAAATGCATGAAAATATGTTTTTTTTTACAGAAATTAAATTATTATTATTATTAACAACAATTTGTTGTTATGTTTTTGCTTTTTAATAACAAATGTATTTTGTATGTCAGATGTAAAAAGATAGTCTTTTATATTTTTCTTATCAAATTTGACATACAACGTAAATTAATCAATATATATATATATTGTAGTAATAATGATATCATCTATTTATAATTGTAAATGTCTATATGTAGACATACATTTAGATGTATATTTTGTTAAAAGAAAACAAAAATGTTAATTTAGTTTTTTGGAGAAGGGGTGGGATTAAATATGTGTAAACTCCTTCCCACGCCTTTTCGGATGTGTAATTAGGTAGATCATTTGTTTATATATAATTTGTAAGTAAATAATATTTAGTTTATCAATTTGATACTGCTTACTTTTCTATCATAATTCTCTTGTTTCATTTCATTATTATAATTTTTTTTGTATTGTATTACACGTTCGAAATAAATCAAATCAAATGTGTCTTTGAAGAGGTGCTAGATTACTCAAAAACAACTGTGTGTTTATGCACCTGGCTGCCAAAGACAAACATGCAGTTTGACCGAGAGGCATTTCAGTGCAGAATACATTTGTATTTATTTAGTAGACGGGCACAATTTCCTGGACATGGACACGGATGGGAATGACCTCTGGAGTCCAGCATGTCTTTGAGTTCCTCTGACCCTTTCTCTGAAAGTGGAGAGGACACTGAGGATTCTTCACTGGGGTCTGTTGTTCCCTCAGCCACCAGAAAACAGCTCCAGCTGCAGTACCCCGGGAAACCCTCTTCGGAGTAAAAACCCTCCAAGATTCCTCGACGTCCACTTCTAACAAGTGGTAACCTACAGAATAGGCCGACATAATAACTGACTAGAACACCTCATGCAATATTACAAAACATGTCAAAATGATGAGACTGTCAACAATAAACAGTAAACAGGCAGTCAGCACAGTTAAGATTATTTACAATGAATTCAAATAGTAATACAATGACTATTAAAGAAGTATTTACACTGAAGACAGAACTTAGGCTACTGCTGATTTAATGTAGCGGACAGACAGATCATATTGACATGCTTTTGTCATCCTTTGAAGTTTAATTAATTAGCTGACTATAATTAATGATCAGGGTTGGGAAGTTTACTTTTGAAATGTAGTACTCACACTCTTACTGTAATTAGTGATTAAACCTAGTTGGGCTTGCCAAAATCACGCTACAGTTTCATTAAACAAATAATCAAATATGCTAACAGTTTATTTAGCCGAAAGCTATAGCTAATGAATAATTGTTTAATTATTGTTGTTTATAATTGTGCTTTTAATACGGTTAGAAGCTATCATAAGCTAACAGATGATTGTTTGTATTGCCTTAAAGGCCCGGACACACCAAGAAAATAATCTAAATGAAAGAAAGAACTGACACAGACGGACCCCGACTGTTGCGTTTTGGCCATGGCTGCATCTCAGGTCGATTAAATGGAATCCTTGCGTCCCTCACTTGCGTTGTTTCCCTGCGTTTAGTCCCTCCCACCAGGGAAGCATGGAGAGACACAAGGGTTGAAGTTGAATAGTCCATTTAGCTTAGGAACCTTCCTAACGGAGTGAAATGACCCGGAAGTCCCTCAGTGGCAGCCATGATAAGTGCCGTTCGAATTCTCTAGATCAGTGGTTCCCAAACGGTGTGCCGTGAGGCAAGTCCGGGTGTGCCGTGGGATTTAGTGACAACCATACGTTATTATTGCAATACACAACTACACAAAAATAATACTTTTTTAATTTACTATATCAGTACTTTGTAGGTTTATATACGTAATCTGCGCGACTTGCCCGTCCACATCTCCACGTGCAGTGCTGCATAAACATGGCTGAGTCAGTGATAACTTTCGAGGGGTGGAGCCGAGGTATGCTCATTATTTTGAGTTCGTCCGAAGAATAGACAGGAATGTAACGGTGAGGTGCAAACTGTGTCCAGGCCAGAAGCTGTTATCCACTGCTGGAAACACCACGTCAAACCTCAACAAACACCTGCAAAGAACACATGGGTTGCGTTCCGATAATCCAAAAATCAGCTCCTAAATTCTAACCCTATCTCCTATTCCTTGACCTCTGAGTGAAACGTCACGGGGTTAAGGGATAGTGGATAGGAGAATTCAAAAGGACTTAGGAGAAGAGACCGCGGTACTTTATGTGAAGTTAAAACTTCTTTGCAGCAATGTTGAGCCAATCATGAAATGAGTGAAACTGGATTCGCCTGTCAATACACTGATATTTATTGAGAGCCTGAATGGCCGGAGAGTTCACAGCATATCACAGTTCTCATGTAAGATCCCAGCAAACTCTGAACTCTAAAAGCGCCAAGCACCCAACTATACAGACAAGAAGAGGAGGGCCCTAAAACACGCGGGTTTTCCTTTAATGCATGCCAGATGTCGAGACAAAGACTTGCATTGTAAACCCACATGGGCCAAGCTTCTCCCCCACAAGACATCAGATGACCTCTTGACCTGTATCTTCCTGAGAAGCTATGGATCACATTACAGGCAGGAATACACTTTAACCATATTAAACAGATTCCCGAGGACAAATCACTAAACTCTATATACTTTAACAAGACCAAAATATTCCTTTACAGATCCACCCTTTTATCAATTTATGATAATCAATTAACATTAGTCTAAAGAATATTTCAGTCAATACTTAAGTCAATAAGCGTCTTCAGAGTTGTGTGGGCTCACTCACATTAATTACATCAAAAGTAGAACAAGATTGAAAACACTTCAATCATCATGACAAGATACAATCAATCATAATAAAATCATCTCTCTTCAGTGTTTGGCATCATTTGTCAAAAAGCACAATAATAAACACGTGAAATACAACAATATTATAGCAAAATATATCTTTCAAAAATAAGATATTTTATCATTTATCCCTCAGTTAATCTCCTTCATCAAACACAAATTCTAAATCAGCTTACATCTCAAAGATTTACTTCAAGGCAATTACTTATGAAAACACAATTAGAATTTAGGATTTATAATAAATCCAATTGAGGTATAAATCAGACTTCAACTATCAATCATTATGTCATCTCAAAATCTGAAGGGAAAACTAAACAATTCTCAAAATGTTTAACAATCTGAAGAATCAAACATTTTATTGTATAACGACCTGAAAAGGAAAAAATCAAAACATTTGTTCTTTATTCAGAGCATCAACTGTAATCAATATCAAAACATCTGTTCTTTATTCAGAGCATCAACTGTAATCAATATCAAAACATCTGTTCTTACCTGGTAATGATTAAGGATAGTAACATTGTCTGTTATAATATTAGAAATATCTTATTGTCCAATACCTTATAAATCTGAAAATATCAATTAATTAATTAGTTTAGTGTGAAAGTGTAATC